AAGATGGTTCGGGCCACCTTAGCAGTAAAAATGAACAAAACGAGTAGAAAAATTTTATAACAAACACCTGCCTACTATCTTCCCTAGTAATAATATAGAAACTCTTCTTCATAATTTATAAAATGAAATAAAAAACAATGAAAAACCCGATATGACAATACAGGAAAAATATGATAGTTTAATTAACGTACTCAAAATGTCTGTAAAAAAATCGTCGACAGATATAAAAAAATCTATTTCAATGGAAGCAAAACAATTACTAGAAGAGCGGAAAAATCTTATGAGAGGCAAAAAGAACAAAGAAGTACGTAAAAAGATATCTGAGTTAAGTAAATTAATAAGCGAACAATTAAGAAAAGACAGGAAATTAAAAAGAACACGTACATTAAAAAAATACATAATAAGAACAGGAGGTGTAAGGAAAGCTTATAAAGAATTAGACAACAAGAAAGAATGGATGCCGAACGCAATCACTAAAAGCGGAACATGCACTTCTAAAAGATTAGAAATATTAAAAGTCGCCACCGATTACTATAAGAATTTGTATAAGTCCAGAAATCCTATTTTAAAAACAACGGAACTATACATATCAAGGGATAACAAAACAATAACAAAAATACTAAAAGAAGAAACTACAAGAGCAATTCAAACTCAAAAACTTGACAAATCATCTGGATCAGACCAAATTACTAATGAGATTTTAAAGGGTACACCAGTTATTGCCGGACCATTAACAGACATTTTTAACGAAATGATAACTCTGGAGACTGTGCCAGACGATTGGACCAAATCAATAATCGTGTTACTACATAAAAAAGGTAATAAAGGAGATATCGGGAATTACAGACCAATAAGCTTAATGACGAATGTTTACAAATTTTTTTCCAAAATACTATTATCACGAATTGCTTTAGTACTCGATAACAATCAACCGAAAGAACAAGCCGGCTTCCGCAGTCATTTTTCTACCATTGACCATATCCATGTGTTAAGACAAATTCTTCAAAAATATAGGGAATTTAACAAAGTCACAACAAACAAACACGTCAAACACTAACTGTAGGTGTTTTATCATGTTTTATACTCATGGGATTTACAGAGTTATTGTTAAGTTAGTTATAGTTTATACAATAATCCATTAATTCATATTAGTTTTTCATTTTCAGAATAAAAACTTATCGGAAAACTGCTCCCTGGTCGTCTCACGGGAATGATATAATGCAGACACTGAGTAGATATTATTCAAATACATTTTCTGATGCTGAAAAACAAAATACGATGAATTTGTTCTTAGGACTTTTTATACCCGATCCGACGAAGCCGGCTATTTGGGATTATCCGACCGATTACTATTTTCATCACCCCGAAGCAATGGTTTATATACCAAATAGAAGGTATGTTTACTTTGATAATTATGTTGCAGCGATTTTTTGCTTTTTTTAATCCGAGTCTCAGTGAATTTTACTCTATAAACCATTCTAAGCGTTTACAATACACTGCGTATACACTACCTATTGCTCGCGATTTCGTCCGTTTCTAACTAAAAAATAATAAAAACATCATAGCCTAACTCATAAGCTTTTTAATGGCGCAAGAATTTTTAAAATCGGTCCAGTAGCTTTCGAGTTATTTCAATACATACAAAAACCAAAAACAAATCTTTTATCTTTAAAATATCATTATAGATACAGAAATATGCTGTTACAGATAGGGATAGAAGTTTTTGCATTTTTAAAAACCGAACAGACCATAGACAAGGTGTTTTCTTTGTGTAGGTCGTTAACAAAGTGGTGGGAGGAGGAGGTAGTGCGCTACCT